ACAGCACAGGAGCATTTGTATTTTCAAAGTGAACTTGGTCTTACTATGATGCAGTCCAAATTGAACTCTGAGTATAACCTCATAAAGAGCATCCATGGACACTGAACCACAACAGTCAGCTGCTTCATACAGTATTCATCACCTCTGCTTTCTAAAGAAATCACAACTGCCTCTTTCAATCTCCGTCCAGGCTCTGTTCTGTATCATTGTGTCACCAGTCTTGTTTATGAGACATGGTCCAATTTGGTTCTTGGATTTGTGGGTGGGTTCATTTTGGCTTCGTTTGGTTGGTTTTGTTGGTTTGTTTTGTTTTTTTCTCCTTCTCCTTATAGGAAACACTTCCAGAGTACCTCCCTTGCACATGGAGGTAGTCAAATGAAATATAACATGGTCTACTGAGCTTCTAAGGACAGGGATTTATGTGCATAGGAGAGGGGAGACAGTGCATCCTTGTTGGAAAAGCTCTTAATCTTGACAACCTCTAAGGACAGAGGTTGAAGTGCCTAGTGAACCCAAAATACACAAATATGATTCATAAGTCCTGAGATCCCTATCAAAACCCTTCCAAGATCACCAGAATTAGGTGTTTTTTGGCTGCCCGGGATCAGTTCTCTAAAGACCATTGCAAGAGCAAGATATATTTCTATTAAAAACATCCTTTCATATAATTCCCCAGAAGTTACTAGGCCTAGTAAAAAGATTTTTACTCTCTCTCTCTTCTAGATGCAAATGAAGAAGCATGATCCTTTTTCATTTGCATTTTCATGGTTTTCAAGCTATGCAAGTTGTACTATCACCAATGTTACACAAACTTGCTGAGATGCTAACTTGAATGACAAAAAAATGCTGAGTGGATACTGGAGTTTCCACTCACGGTGGTTTAAATACTTCATCTTTTGCTGATGATAAAGAATTGATGTTTATCATTTACATTCTTCAATATGTAAGGCTGTTACAGGTATGTACATTGTGAAAAGTCTGAAAAGCATATAAATGTAAGGTCTGCGCAATTACGTTTGCCAGGAGTATGGCACATTATTCAAATTTAAAATGTAGCCTCAGTCAAATTAACTTCAGAATGGAAAGAAACCTATTACTGTACTGATATTTCAAATATTTCTACCTTCCTTATGATACAGAATTTTGGTGAATTAATCCAGACAGGGAACCTTGAAAAGTCTCCTGTACTGTAAGTCTGTATGTCATCTCAAAGCCTCTGTTTTTTCACATCTCTCAGCTCTGCACAGCCCAGTTCCCAAGATCCTCACCCAATTTCTTTTCTTTTTAAAGCCCAGAGACTTTTAACAGTTCCTTACACTATGTACAGTCCCTTAATTCCCCCCTCCAGTAAATCCATCCCTGCCTTAGCCCAAGAGAGCACTGGAGGTTTCTCATTAACAGGAATAAGCCACAGTAACTAGCAAAAATCAAAACCCGCACTTGAATAGCAACTATGAAAAACAGCTCCCTTCAGTGCAAGTGCCTAACTTGTTTTTTTCCTTACTAGGACCACAAGGTGCACCTCTTGATCCCAGTCCTGACTTTCAGCCCATGCTGTCTGTATGGAAGAGATCAATGGAAAATATGTTAGGGAGATGGAAGGGACTTGTCTTGCTCAAACTGAAATACATGTTGGGGGACTTCTGCTAAATTCATTTTGAATTGATCTAGAACATTTAATTTGACCCAAAAGAAAATAATCTTGGCTTTGCGATATGGATTATTTAACTTCTTTGTTGTTGTTCTTTAACCTTCAAGTTCAGGTCACTCTCTTCCATGAGAAATACTACTTTGAAACAAAAAGTTGGAAAGCTTTTCTTTGATGCAGCAGTCCCAAAACAAAATATTTCATTGGAATAATGTGGTGAAGAAGCACATGGGGTTGCTGCGCTGGGGTGAGGCTGCTGTCACTCACAGGTCCAAGAGCCCACCTCAGGCTCAGCAGTGCAAACAAGAAGAGAGGGGGCTTCAGCCAACTATGCCAAAGTGCTTTGACACTTTCTAAGTCTCTGTCCCTGTGTTAGCATGAATTACATTAAGAATGCAATCCGAATTCATAAGCAGCATGCACCTCCCTGCCAAAATCCCATTTATGAACATACACACTCTTTGCCAGAATGCCATCAGTTGCTTCCAAACCTTCTGGCCACATGAAGAAAAGAGACAGACAGTGACTCATCTGAAATGAGTCTCAAACCCTGCAGTGCTGCATCTCAGTGAACAACTGCTCCTTCTCCAGCCACTTTGCTCAGCAGACCCATCCATTCCCCAGCACAGCACAGCCTCCTGGGGATGCTTACTAGCATTCTTCTGGGCACACTTTGCTGCTAGACCTCCCCATATATTCTCAGAGGACTCAGGCAACCACAGACATCAGCTCTTTGAGGTTATGCATGTTTTTTCCATCCATAAGACCTTTTACAAGCTGCAATGACCTGAAGTACTTCATAAATAGTCCCAACATTTTATACCCTTCGTTGTGTATCCAGTCATACCACCGCAATTACATATCCCAGGAGACACAACAGCAGATCTCACTGATAGGAAAAAAAAAAAAAAAAAAAAAAAAAAAAAACACACAAGTGATCCACATAGCATGTTTCTAAAACTGAAAAAAAAAAAAAAAGAAAAAAAAAAAAAAAGAAAAAAAAAAAAAGCAAGCTAGGGGACAAGCCATTCTTTCCCTCCAGCCAAAAATACTGCCTTGAATTTTCCAGTGCAAAGCCACATTCTGTGACAATGATTTGGGTTTAAATGCCTCCATTTCTACTCATTTGTACCCAGACAGCTGTGAATCAATGAGTTAGAGCCCACTTATTCCTCTATATCTCCAATATTTTTTTATTAAGTAATTCTGGCCAAGGAAATAACCTGATTTTGTGTGTTTGTATTTTTGCTACTCTCAGCTGTGCCCTCTCTTTTCAATGTGATTCACCAGTGACAGCCCTGCAGAAAATGCTTTTAACACAATATACTTATAAATTATGAAAAAACAGATTTACAATCTAATCTCTCCATGTGTAGCAATGTGTATTAAGTTCTGTTAGCATCAGAAACAACTGTAAATTTAGTGTATGCCTAAGAAGTGTATGCCCATATTATCATCAGTAAAAATCATGTGCTTTTTCCTCAGTCCTGCTATTTAGATGAACTAGAAGCAGTCTTCTTGGAAGAAAATAAAGTTTTCCCTGAATACTTTGTTAGTTCACAGCAGAAACAGTCCACTTAAAAATGAGTTAATGGTTGATTTTTCCAGCTAGTGTCTACACTTTAGTCATTAACTAGCAAAATGTTTACACCTATAAAAATATCTGTTTCCTAGGGATTATTAATCATAGTTTACTGAGAAGCCATCAGTTAAATAGTTTAGTTTCCCTCCCCTTTAGAAAATTAAAATGCAGAGATATTCATTTCTGCAATGAATATCTATCCAGTAATTACCATATTTACTTTTCATTTATGGGGGAATAATCTGTTTTAATTAAGCCTAACTGAAGAACTTTTATCAGATGTAATTATCCCTTTCGATAAATATGTCTCCACTAATTACATTTAACCATGGGATTTATAGCTCTTAAGTCATTTGGTGGGAAACATAATAAATCTTTAGTAATACATGCTAAATTACTATAAATTAATTCAGATCATTAACATAATAAACAAATTAGGATAATTTCACTTAATTAGTTTGGGTGGTTAACTCAAAATTCCTTCTAAAGATTCATGGTATTCTAAAATTTACCAGGACTTAGATTTTTTTTTATATATATATTTTTTTTATTTTTTTTTAATAATAGACCTGTTTGAGTATTTACGCAGAAAATTATACCACTGCAGGAATGCAGTAAACACACATATTCCTGTTAGATAATAGAGCCTTTCAGGAATTGATGCTGGGTCCTTCTTAAATGCATTTAAGCGTGCCTCCCAGGCTTTCAAGTTTGTACCACTGCATATCAAAGAACTTGAAGGGCAGCATGATAAAATTAATTTTAGAAGTGAACTCCTTCCTCTCTCCTTCTTACCTTTTTGCTAGTCATTGTTGGAGGCAAAGGTAACCACAGAGCACTTCTGTGATCAAGAAAAGAATGGGATGCAGCAAGGACAGTAGGTAGGCTTAGCAAGGACAGTAGGTCAGTGTGCCTGGTGAGGTAGATGGTAGTAACCCTACTGCCTGTTTCCCTTTTGTCTCTGGTGTGATGCACTGGGAGGCACAACAGAGCCAAATAGCACCACAAGCTATAAGAACAATCACGCAGGCTCTTCAGAGGCAATGAGGACTATCAGTTGTGGACTGTCCAGCCCCGTCATACACTGCCAAAACACCACATGCAAGCATCTTCTCTCAAACATCTTATGCCCCGTTTCACATCAGGAGGGAATACACACAGCAAGGCAGGGAACTGACACCACGTATGTAACCCAACAGCTATCAGAAACCTCCTTGCCCCCACATCAGTCAGAGATGTTCCTGCAGTGGGTCCTGTTACACTTGCAGAGTTTCCCCCATTGTCACAGACTACGGAGGCAAACCTTAGACAATGTCAACGTATTGGCACACAAACAGTTTATAATTCCTGCTGACAAACATACCATCTCAGTGGTGTTTCCACCTCCTGCTAGTTGGAGATAAGTCTTGGGCTTAGTTCAGCCAAAGTCAAAACCCATCTATATATTTATACAGAAATCCCTCATCAGATTACATGTTCAGGTGACGAATAAAGATGAAAGCAGACGAGCTTTTTAGTCATGAACTTTTGGAGCTTAATCTTCTTAGATGAACTCAGACAAGCAAAGAGCTTCCCTGCAGGCAAAATCTTTCTCATAAATAGAGAAAAATACCAATCAACAAGACTTATTATTAAAAGAACATTTTAAATCTTTTTCCCCAAAGCATTATTGGATCTTTCTGGTGGGAGTGCCACATTTATTCCATGTTGTCCTACTTTGCAGTGCTGATCCTTGAAAGGCAGGAGGTGTCTGGTTTAATGGCCACTTACCAGGCTCACTGCTTTTTCTGCTCTTTAAGTCACAGCTTGCGTAGATGAGGGAAACGGGAGAGACAGCTTTCCGTGTCTCAGTATCGGGTCTCAGAAAATTCACTGCCTATAAAGTGAAGTAAGAAAAAAAGAAAAAGAAAAAAAAAAAAAAAAAAAAAAAAAAAAAAAAGCATCTCAGCTTCATTTTTATGTGCCAATTTTGTTTTTAACATTTTCCCTACTCCCTCACTGCCCCCCCCCCCCCCCCAGTAATGACCTTCTTTCTGTGCTCCCTGGGTGCTTCTGCCCAAAGTGTCCCTATGTCCAGAAGCCTTCTCTAGCCAAGACACATCTGCTTCTCCCTCCAGTCCCAGGAGGTGGACAGGCAGAAGGTGCAGTTACAGCACATTGCAGAAGAAGCTCTCAGGAGCACAGGGCTGGCAGAGCAGCAAAAAGAAAAAGAAAGAAAAGCAAAGTCATGACTTCAAGCAGGCTTTTGTTTCACCCTGGAGTCATGGCATGACTTGATAGCATGCCTTCACATTAGTCTGAAGACTGAAGAAACTGCTTGTCCAATGCTTACACTGGCACCAAGACAGAAGAGTCCACATCAGACCCCACTCAGTGGAGGCAGTGCAGCCCTTGCTCTCATTGAAAACTGTGGCTTCAGGGCTCAAACACCTTGGGAGAAGAACAAAAAAAATTTATTCTTACACACTACCTAATAGCAAGGACTAGAGAAATATGAGGTTTGCAACATACACGGAGCTGGAGCTATACCCCCAAGAAAGAGTGAATTTCACCCTGAACTGAATCTTTGATAAGTCAAGAATTGTCCATCCTTGTGCCTTGTTTTTATAAAGATGGATTGTGCAGATTTTTTATTTTTACTTAATGCTGGGAAGCTCAAATTCCTATTTGTATTTCCAAACTGCCATGTTAACTTTCCTCCCATTTTACTTAACTCATTTTTTACCTTAGTCATATTAATGGTTATATAATAATATTAGACAATGTTCACTAACCATTAACTCCAGAAATAATGGTTGTGCTAAATCAGAGTTAATTAGTGTGTCACAAACTCCAGTCCAAGTACAGGGTGATGACTTAATGAAAAAAATGCAATGTCACTTCACCAAGAATTACATATACAATTTTAAGAGGTATTTTAAATATTTTTCTTAATAGCTGTCAGCAGAAGCGATGTGATGTGATTCTTTAGAGAGCATTGCTCTTTACTGAGTACAGGCAAGTGAGCTATCACCAGCCTTACAATGGCTGCAGAAAACAGATTTAACATTAATTTATGAATAGCTGAACTTTTTCTCTTTAATGTTTAATAGTGAATCATGCTCTAAACCCTTTATATTTCACTGCACATCAGCAAGGTTGTCAGGAGCAAAAGATCAGGATAACATAATTCTTTTGACTTGTTCTCAGCATCCCTCATTTATTCCTGAAGCAGCCTGAATCATCTTGAAAGTAAGATGCATGGGGTGGCAAAATTTAAATGAGAAAGGAGTTGCTCTTTAAGGGCCATCAAGTTTTTAAAAGCATAACTTCCAGCTGAAACTGTGTGAGCAGGGATTCATTCACTCACACAGACACAGAGTCATGAACATTCTTTTCTAGACACCATAAGCAAAGGAAGGTCAGGCCACTGGCCATGCTTGGGTACCTGCATTCCAGCACCCGTCATGAAAAGAAAGAAAAATGTGGATGGCAGAAGGTGAACATGCTCTCTTAAAGCTCAGAATTTTCACCTTTCCAAAACTTCCAATTCACTTAATGTCTTGAAGAAACCATATACACATCCAATGCTTTCTCAGTACCTTGAGAACCCCAAAGCAGGCCTGCCAAAACATAACTACTGTCATTGTTATCAGCAGATCACATCATATTATGGATTTCACAGATTTTTAACTCTCCAAATTTGTCATCATCTATTTAGATCTGAAATGGGCAGAGAGGAGTTATTCCAAGCTCCTGGAAATCCAACCATCATTTCAGTACTACCAGGTAGTGTGGAGCACAGAAATGTCAAGCTCCAGGAAGCAGGCTCCAGTTTAGTTGCAAGCAAAAAGCTAAGACCAAAACACAAAGGTATCAAACACCTGGCAACATATTCAATGCCACATGGGCTATTGCAGTACTGCTGTCACTGCTGAGCTTTAACAGATGAACTGTTTTTTTTCTGTCACCTGAGGAACCCAAGGTCCCTTGATGAGACCCTGCAAGAGTGACTCTTGAACGCCTGATGGAGGAGAAGCTCCAGTTAAGATGTGATCTTCTCTGATTTAGGAGGACGATGAGTCCTCCACAGGAAGCCCACATTCACAGGACACTTAATGGAAGAAGTGCGTTCCCTTACCAAGCAGACAATGGAAGAAAGAGGGTGAGGGGCTTTTGTGCAAGATTTTTTTTATTATTACCACTGCTACCTGGGTGTTCTGCCTACTTGAAATGTTTCTGTGATCTTTCAGGTGTGATGAAATACTGACTGGACATAAAATTGGTTAGCCTCAATGATCTCAGTAGCCTACAGTATTTCCTGAGTAGTTGAAAACTGTCGACAGGTTGCTGCTCTCTTCCTCAAGCTATTTTCTCAGTCACAGTAGATACATCCAACTCTACTGCCTTCAAGTACTCCTGATACAAACCATTGATTATAATTTTATCAAGCCATAGAGGCTGGTTGTTTTATTAGGTAATCATGAGACTGTTACAGAACTATGCAAGGGAAGTGAAGCCTCAGGCTGTTACAGTAGGTAACAAACCTGTCATTAATTACTGAGGAAAAGCTTTCTGCTTTTTAAATTATTTATACAGCTGGATCTACGGTATGGAAAGATTAAACATAATTAAAATGGAGGCTTTAAATTCCAAGGGGGCAGGCTAACTTCACAAATCATCGAACACCGGCCAAGCACAGATAAGGACCAGAGCTAATGCCTATCCTGCCCCTGGGTTGGCACATGGTACTTCCAACACTTGCCCTGGACTGGGGTTCCCTTTATGAAATAACTTCAAATAAAGATAAAGACCTGCTAATCTCATAAACTCGCACATAGGATGCCTTGCTTAAGTACTTTATCCCTATGACTGGCATATCTTTGGAAGTGATTCTTTGTCTTAGTATTTGAGGTTTAGTGAAGAAAAATGTAATCTTCCAACAAGGTTATTGCCCTCCTAGGTTTCAATTTAATTGCACTGTGCAGTAGTTCAAGTACTATGTACATTCAAAAAATCTTTGGGTGAATTCAGTTCATATAAATAATATAGTCCCCTAATAAGTAAAGCAGTGTGCTAATGCATTCCAAACCCATTTGCATTCTTCCTTCACAGGAAGCAGCTTTTATTATACTGTATTTAAATACAAAGTAAAATGTAGCAAAATATTAATCTCATTATGCTTCATTATCATATCTCCTGCTATATATGAAAACAGATCAGTATTGTCTCAGTTTTCAGAGCTCCCAATTTTAATGCAAGGACTTTTAATTGGTTTGTTTTTTTTGTTTGTTTGTTTTCTCCAGTCCAGTGATGCCTGTTCTCAGAACAAGCCACTTCAAAACTCTTGGATACTTTGGCTTTCCAGAGAAATTCAGGAGTTCTAAAGATCTCTCCTTTTAGCAACATGTGAAAAATCTGCATACACAAATATATATTTTAGTATATACATACACACACACGATGTCCAACTATTTTAACAGGACATAGCTATGTTAACCCTCCAGGTAGAGGATTGAAAATTGTTGCCCAGTACTACCAGGTAGACATCCTATTTGGGAGAAATGAACCTCCATCTGTGCTGGGGCTTTTGGACTTTTTTTTTTTTTTAAATACTGCTTCAAAGCTCTCTGCTCTGTTATCTCTAGTTCAGAGGTAAGAGGTTTTTTCTTTGGTGTAGGTTTAAGTCACCTTGGATACACCCAATATCTTATTTACATATTGAAACTTATAGCAAGAGCACCATTAACTCATTTTTTCTGTCTACGGCCTCTAGTCAATACCTGTATTGCTTTCTCTCTCTCTACACAGAAGGACCACATCATGCAGTATATATTTTACTGTACAGTTACTATTCTTCCTTAAAACTAGCTATGAGATATACCTCATTATTACTTTTGAGCATTAAGGTTATCTGACAAATGTTATTTGACATAAGTATCCCCCCATTATACTGAGTATTCCCCTAACACCACAATGGTTAACCTAGATTAACCTTCACATAGTTAAATTAGCCTTTCATGTCTAATTATACCCTGTGATAGGATACATTAGTTCCAATCCTCACAGCCATAAGGGACCTGTAGTTTCAAGTGACCTCTACACATGGACAATAATCCAAATTAGAACAGACATGAAAGCAGGATCAGGGCCAAGACATGTAGGATTTTGTACAGGTTTCCAAGGTCAGCTTAAAGATTTGAAGACTGGGCACTGCTCTATTTGGGAGCTCATGGAAAATTAACCCATTTTAAAATTGACAGCTAGGAAGTACTCAGCAAATAATCTCGTTGTGCACAGATTAACTTTCTATCACATGCCTGTATTCTGAAAGATTCATCTGCTGTCCTCAGCTACCTGTTGTAGCAGTATACTTGCTGTAGCTGAGAGTATATAGAAACATTTTGTACTGCACTACTAGTTTTTACCCAAACAATAAACTCTTGCTATCTAATTGCTATACAATAATCAAGTTGGCTTTTGATGCTCTGTTAATTTTTATTTAAGTGATGATTTTCTCTTCAATTTGCCATCCTCGTTTACCTAGCTCAATTCTACTGTAATTTGGTTGTTTAGTAATTTTGATAAGGTGTTGAATTTGCATTTAGAACCCAGTTGATATAGGGTAATAAAATTGTGTCACCTAATGACTACAGAAATGTTAAATTGGTACAAAATATACCTTTCTTCTGATGTCTGCTTTGAGCAAAGACAACTGCTTTCCGTACCAGACAAAGCTGTTCGGAATAGAAAATCCATGGAAACCAAGCTGATGCCAGATGCTGCCAGTTTCAGACCTCATCTTAAGAGCAGCAGTTCCAAATTATATGGCCCTCCCCTAACACAGGAGCACTGAGACACTACCTGCTCCCAGGTGAAACACCACATCTTGCAAAGCCTTCGTTTGCCATAGAGCATCCCCATCCAGGACAGAACTGCATCAGCTGCACCAACATGTGATGAGACAAGATGACACCCCAACACTACCTCTCCTGAATGAGAGGGGAACACATGGGGAGTGAGGGAGGAAGAGACCTACATGAAAATGATTTTTAAACCATTGCTGTTATGTTTCTTTATTTGAAAGTTTAAATATATTAAAAACCACACGGGTCTTAGCATTACTGTTTTTCTCACAGTGCAACTTTCCCTTAGTATTCCTCTCAAGGCCACATTTCAGTTGTGCAACTGAGCAAGAGCAGAATGGAACAGACGTGCTAGGAATTCTCACCTACAAATCAAGACAGATCTCATGTTCTTAATGCTCAACATCACCATCTCAAAACTGGCTGAACTTTGAGCAGCATCTGCAGCAGCTTCTCTCTCTATAGTAAGCTGTAGAATCTAATGGATCAGCATGAGGGCATGTCAGGTGGAGGAAGAAAACATCAGTGCCTGAAGATCTTCAGCACAGTAACAGAAATTCACCAGTGGCTCCCATGGAGAACTGA